CACCACATTGACCACACTCAGGAGGATGAGAGATGGGAAGCTCTTACTGCAATTGTTGGTAATAGGACTTACACCTTTGCTAATGCCTCCAGAAAGATCAGAAGCAGCAGAAGCATGGCCTCTGCCTCACAACCACCTTACAAATCTCTCTCATATACATCTGAGAGGTGGAACCTAAGTCTCACTTGGAACTCTAGCTGCAAGGGAGTCTGGGGATTATTGTTTTTAGCTTTCAAGCCTCTTTAGTATAGAAAGTCAACTAGAAGGAAAGCAGTTTTGGATTGACATCCAATGTACCATATCGCAAGCCCTAGGAGTCAGTGAGTCGCAACTTCATAGAGTCCCAGTCCCAGTTGTAAATGTCTGCTGAGTCATAGAGAATAAGAGTCAAATTTCTTATGTCTGTGGGGATTTGAGTTTTAACTCATTAAAAAACACATAATTGTCCTGACTAAAATCCTTTAGTGTCCCCCCCACCAATACACACACCCTTAGCACTCAGGCAAATTTCAAGCTCCTTAGCGGGTTTAAAAGACTCATGTCCTGGCACCCTACCCTCCATACTCTCCCTTCTCCCTCCCAACCCAGATACTCTTGCCACAGCTGAGCCCAAATTCTTTGTATTTTCCTGAGTACCTTATGCTCTTTCAGGTCTCAATACTTTGTACTTAATATCCCCTCTCCTTGGAACCATGTCTTCACCAACTATCATGTAATCCCAGACAACTTGATTTTCCTTAGGACTCACCTCAAATGTCACGGCCTCTGCAAAGCTTTCCCTGACCTCTCTGGGTGAGTGTGAGCACAGAACTGAGCCCTCAGTTTGTTCACCTTATTGTAGGCATGACGGTCTCCCCATCCAGCTGTGAACTCCGTGGAGGGCACAGATCAAACTCCTTTCAGTTTGGATCCCAGTGTCTAACTCTGTGTCTAGCACTTGGGTGATAAATAAATGTTTATTTTTTATTTATTTTTATTTTTTAAAAATAAATCTTTATTGTTCAGATTATTACAGTTGCTCCTCTTTCCCCCCCTGTAGCTCCCCTCCACCTGGTTTCCACCGCACCCCCTGCCCTTAACCTCCCCTACTGTCCTTGTCCATAGGTGTACGATTTTTTTCCAGTCTCTCTTCCCACACCCCCCACAACCCCTTCCCCCAAGAATTGTCAGTCCACTTCCTTTCTATGCCCCTGATTCGATTCTATTCACCAGTTTATTCTGTTCATCATATTTTTTATTCACTTGATTTTTAGATTCACTTGTTGATAGATATGTATTTGTTGTCACTTTGTTGTTCATAATTTTTTTTTTAATCTTTACCTTTTTCTTCTTCTTCCTCTTCTTAAAGAATACCCTTCAGCATTTCATATAATACGGGTTTGGCGGTGATGAACTCCTTTAGCTTTTTCTTATCTGTGAAGCTCTTTATCTGACCTTCAATTCTAAATGATAGCTTTGCTGGGTAAAGTAACCTAGGTTGTAGGTTCTTGCTATTCATCACTTTGAATATTTCTTGCCACTCCCTTCTGGCCTGCAAAGTTTCTATTGAGAAATCAGCTGACAGTCGTATGGGTACTCCCTTGTAGGTAGCTGACTTTTTTCCTCTTGCTGCTTTTAAGATTCTCTCTTTGTCTTTTGCTCTTGGCATTTTAATTATGATGTGTCTTGGTGTGGTCCTCTTTGGATTCCTTTTGTTTGGGGTTCTCTGCGATTCCTGGACTTGTAAGTCTATTTCTTTTACCAGGTAGGGGACGTTTTCTGTCATTTCTTCAAATAGGTTTTCAATATCTTGCTCTCTTCTGGCGCCCCTATAATTCAGATGTTGGTATGCTTGAAGTTGTCCCAGAGGCTCCTTGCGCTATCTTCATATTTTTGTATTCTTTTTTCCTTTTGCTTTTCTGGTTGGGTGTTTTTTGCTTCTTCGTATTTCAAATCTTTGACTTGATTCTTGGGATCCTCTATTCTGCTGTTGGATCTCTGTATATTATTCTTTATTTCAGTCAGTGTATGCTTAATTTCTAATTGGTCCTTTTTCATATCCTTGAGGGTCTCACTATATTTCTCGGAGGTTTCTAGAAGATTCTGGAGTAGCCTATAACCATAGTTTTGAACTCTACATCCAGTAGTTTGCTTTCCTCCATTTCTTTCATTTGTGACCTGTTTCTTTGTCTCTGCATTTTGGCTGCTTCCCTGTGTTTGTTTCTATATATTGGGTAGCTGCTAAGTCTCCTTGAGTTGATAGAGTGACCTTGTGTGGTAGGTGTCCTATAGGGCCCAGTGGCTGAGCCTTCCTAATTACCTGAGGTGTACCCTCTTGGTGCGCCCCTTTGTGTGCTGTGTGCACAATCTTGTTGTAGTTAAGCCTTGATTGCTGTTGGTATCACTGGAAGGAATTGACCTCCAGGCCAATTGGCTATGAGGACATGTTGTGTCTACAATGGGAGAACTTCTGTGCTGGAGACACCCTTATGGGGCAGGACTTGCTTCAGTGGGGCTTTGGTGCTCACTGAGTCTGCCCTCTGAGTGTGTCTCTTATGAATGTGAAGAGTTGTAATCTGGATGGTCTCACTCTGACCACTGGGTGCACTGGCTCTTGGATCTCCAAGGAGATGCAAAGTCAGCCACTGCCTGAGGCCACCCAGCAGGATCTACAGAGAGATCTTCAGATTCCTTCTCTTTGTTTGGGGTTTGGAGGTGCCCAGATGAGGCGCAGATGTGAAGCAATGCAGGCTGCTGACAAGCCTTAGGCCTTCTTTTGGAAGCTCTGGGGTTCTCTGACCCAGATGCAGTTTGACAGGTTTTTAGGCAGAGAAAGACCAGGCCATTCATATGCAAACACCTATGCGCACAGCTTGGATGGGGTTGTAAATTGGGTGGGGTGGGGTCTCAGGGAATCACCAGGGTGGAGCAAACAGCAATGGTTGCCCATCAGCCCTGCCCTGATAGGTCCCTGGGTCTCTGTGTCCCATGGCCCATGCAGGAACAATAACCACTGCAAGCACCTCTGAGAGAAAGCTGCCCTCACGTTCTGGCCCAATGCCAGACAGTCCAGTTTCTCTCCGTATGAGTTTGGGTCCCCAGAGCCTCACCCGTAACTAAAGTTCAGAGCAGTCGGGAGCTTGTATCTCCCTCCCGATTGAAAAAGACAACAGAGTACCCAGTTGCCAGCCCCTTTCACACACGCCTCTGTACCTCTGCACTTCTGCACCTCTGTACCTCCTACCCGCTTCAATGCGCTTTTCTCTTTCCTTCTAGTTGTAGAATTTCCACTCAGCCAGCCTTCCTGTGGTTCTGGGTGATATTCGTTTTGTCTTTTAGTTATAGTTTTAATGTGGTTGTGCGCGGCAGCAAGTTCAGGTGTTTACCTATGCTGCCATCTTGGTTGTCTCAATAAATGTTTATTTAATGAGCAGAGACTGGAATTGGAGGAAGGAAATGGAAGGACAGGGATGGATATGAATTTTCCATATTGAGAAGAGAAACCTGGAGATAATTGGAAGGAATTCCAGATTATAAAGATGTGGATCTCAACCCTACCTGTGTAGCGGTTCACCTGTGAGAGCTCCTTATAAATGCAGAGGATTGGGGCTGGGCTCAGAGGGTGCCAGGATCCCTGTCACAATGCTAATCAAAGCAAACTTCTGCCTTTCCCAGTGTGTTGTTCCTTCAGACCACCAAAGGTGAGCTGTCCAAGCCACGTGAACCCCTCAGTGATGGCACATGGGTGGGGGAATATTGGTGTGATGTGGCTTGGAAGTGGGGTTTGGTAGCATTTACCCAAGTGGGTCAACATTCATGATCTACAGCTCAGCTAATGAACATAAAGGCTAATTTCCCATTAAAATCTATGAAGATCTTGTATATCCATAAATAGAATATTATTCAGCCATAAAAAAGGAATGATATACTGATTCATGCCACATCATGGACAAACCTTGAAAACATTATGTCAATGAAGGAAACCAGACACAAAAGACCACATATTTTTATTAAATTTATTGGGGTGACATTGGTTAATAAGATCATACAGGTTTCAAGTGTAGATAGCTATAATACATGGTCTATATATTGCCTTGTGTGCCCACCACCCAAAGTCAGATCATCTTCTGTCACCATATATTTGGAAAAGACCACATCTTGTATGATTCTATTTACATGAAATGTCCAGAATAGGCAAATCCAGAGGGACAAAAAGTAGATTAGTGTAGTAGTTACCAGAAGCCAAGGGGAAGGGAGAGTGAGAGGTGATTGTTAATGAATACAGAGTTTCTTTTGGATGATGAATATGGTCTGAAATTAGATAATGGTGATGGTTGCACAACTTTGTGAATATATTAAATACCACTAAATTGTACACTTTGAAAGAATGAATTTAAATGGTATGTGAATTGTATCTCAATTGAAAGAAATCTGTGGAAATGAGTTGGTAGAAATAGCTGCCGATGGAAGCAGTACCTCTGGAGGCACCACAGGAAATTCTGAGGTGGCACTGTTCTGCTGTGCAGGATCTACAGGACCTAAAAATCCAACCTCCAATTGGAAATCGAAATGCAGAGCTGAAACAAGAGCTAAGCAGGCTACTGAAGTAGGCACAGCTTCAGAGGCTCCCCACAAAAAGCCTTGCCATCAGTGATACGTGAACATCGTGTCCCACAAGACATAAGAACCAAAGAGCTATTAGCACAACTACAAAACCTTGTCCTCAGACATATCTCTGGGAAGAAAAGAATCAAAAACTTCTACCCAGAACAGAGTAAAACAAAATACAACATGGCCAAAGAAGTTTTCCCTTTGTACTAGAGGTTCTTTTTTTAAATTTAATTTGTATAAGATTAAAAATTTTTTTTTAATATGTTTTTATTGATTTCAGAGAGAGGAAGAGAGAGAGAGAGAGGGATAGAAACAACAATGATGAGAATTGGCTGCCTCCTGCAAGCCCCTAACTGGGGATGGAGCCCGCAACCCAGGCATGTATCCTGACTGAGAATCGAACCATGACCTCCTGATTCATGGGCGGACGCTCAACCACTGAGCACACTGGCCAGGCTATTTTTATAAAATTTTTATTGAAATATACCTGCAGAACAATGCACCTACACCAGATGTGCACATGAAGTTCTTTTGCTTATCTTGGGGGCTTGAAAATGGCCTCTGCCAGTTAAAATTCCAGCACAATGCCCAGACAAGACTGGTCTAATGTTTCTTTGACAGGATGGATGTGATGTAATAGCATGAACTCTTTACTTTGCACTATTCTCTCTGGAGGGTGAAAAACACCAGCTCTGGTGTGAAGTTTGGCACAGAGTCCATCAGTGGCCAGTGATGAGGCACACTTCCAGCATCTGAGGTCTCAGAGACTCTGGACTGCCCCCAAAAGTCACCGGGAAGGATATCACAGTGAGGCTCCCTGATAACCCACCCGACCTGACTGTAAGGAAAGAACAATAGGATTGAGGGTAACTGAGGAAGAGTAAACATGAACTCAGCACAGCAAATGTACCTTTGACTGAAAGAATGTTCTCCCCAGGCGGGTGAACTTCTGGCCCTCAGGATGGTGGGCCCAGGAGGGCAGACCTATCTGCTCTGAAGGGGGAAGACTGCCTTCCTCGGGCTGCCCTTTATCACCTAAGGCCTGTGCTGTGGCATCTGAAGGTCTGCTCGTGCTGAGCAACCCAGGGCACCAAAGACTGACCCGTCTGCGTTTTCCCTGGAAGGAGCTGTTCTGAAGGTGGGGGAAGAATGACTAATACCCCAGAGAAGTTTGGAGGGGAAAGAGTAGAAGAGCCCTGGGCCCCATATTTCCTGGGTAAAGGCTGGGAAAACTGTATGGCTCAGAGTAGAACAGGCCACTTGCTGTCCATCTCAGCAGATGGGCTTGGGACAGCCCCACAGAGCTTCCTGAAGCCCAGAGGGTGCAGGGCCAGGAGCTAGGATGTTCTTATGCCCCAAGAGCAGGCAGGCCCAATGAGGCTTCATGGTAGGGAGTGAGGGGGCATTAAGCAGGGGCCATGCCCACCAATGACCAACCAAGTGACAACCAGATGGAATGGGGATATTTTAGCAGGAGCTGACAGGGATGGTTGATGAAGACTGAGGAACAAATTTTCATACTATTGAAAGCCTTCCCCCCATCACCGAACTTAACCCCAGGAAAAGTTGGAAGGGGAACCCCAAACTGACTGAGATTCATTTCTACCACCTGGTAAATGAGGCTTCATAATAGAAATTACATTCAGTGTTAGAAAAATAAAGTTATGTTTCTTGCAGAATAGAGTTTATGGTGTGAGTTGTAGCTACTATGTAAGTAATATTTTCTTTATGGTTTTGTTATAAATAAAAGATGAAAAAGACATTTTGGTGGAATAACACTCTGCACAAAAGTAACGCCACTTGCAATGTTTGCTAATTACAGATTTTCCTTCTGTATCTTCGAATTCAGAAAGTGGAGGGGTCTTGCCACAAGATTAAATGACTGTAGCATTTTCTGAGCGAAACGTATCAAACCTAAATTTGTGTGTTGTTCTTTTTGTTTTTGTTTTCTCTATGTCCATCATCAGTCATCTGAATACAGGGCCATCACTGGGAACCGAGAACACTGTTTGCAAGTGAGAGCTGAGGAAAAGAATGGAGGGAGGGCCACTCTAACAGGCAGTTCTACAAATAACTGCTGCTCCATGGTGCCCCCAGCAGCCCTGAAACGACAATGCAGGGGGAGTAGGAGGTCAGAGGTTCTCCAGGGGAAAGAACAGCTGGGACTCTCAGGAGCTTCGAAAAATCCTGAGCCCCTGACTATACCCATGTGCTGAGGGCTCGTGGCCCCACTGGGGCCAGTCACAACCCAGGTGGGGGAAGGTGATGTGGGTGGACAGGGAGCAGTGGGCCTTAGGGCAATCCCAGTGCCTCTGATTCAGGGATCTCTAGGCTTGACTCAGCTGTTCTCCTTAATGTCATCATCCCATAGTGCACTGGGCATTCCCGAGGGCTTCTGGGAGAATAGTCAGGGCAAGGGCATTTAGGGAGGGCTGGAGAAGCCTGTGAGGAAAAGAGAAGAAGATGGTGACTAAACGGCCTCTGAGAGGAGGTTGCCTTTCCAATATGGGAACCTCAGTCTTGCCACTCACTGCCAAGTAGGTGAAATTTTCGCCCCACCCTTATGCCAACCCTTAGCAAACACACTCCCAGGAAAAAGTCGGAGATCACGTCGAATTTACTGAGATGAGTATTTAGAAACTCCCTCCTTTTAGCCTTAGTTTTTACTGAGTGGGGAAATTCCATTCATTCAACAAATGTTTAACTTGCTTCCTTCCAGTAGTGGGATTCCAAACAGGTGGGAATTGATTTGTGAGAGGGCAGGTTAATCTCCCCAGAGTGCCTGAAGTCACATCACACGGCCCTTGTCTTTACCTTGGCCCCTGTGCATCCCTCTTATGAGGGGCTCTAGGACTTCAACTAAAGAATGGAACAAAAGGCCCAGCTGATGTGACTCAGTGGTTGAGCATCGACCTATGAACCAGGAGATCACAGTTAAATTTCCAGTCAAGGCATATGTCCGATTGCGTGCTCAATCCCCAGTAGGGGGCATGCAGGAGGCAGCCAATCAATGATTCTCTTATCATTGATGTTTCTATTTCTCTCTCCCTCTTTCTTCCTCTCTGAAATCAATACAAATATATTTTTTAAAAAAGAAGAATGGAACAAAGTGGTGGCCCCATGGTGAGTCCTGACACTCATAGTTTTCACAGGGCTGCTCAGCTATGAACTGGGCCACTCCCATCCTCAGGGTACCTCAATCTGAGATCTGGGAGACCAGAAAGACCAAGGGGCTGGTGCTGAGGCCAAAAGCCCAGGGCAGAGCCTACCTGAACCAGAGTCGAACCAGCTAATGGGGGTGGGGGAAGATGAAGGCCGACGCCCGGCTCTCTTCATTGGCTCCGCTTTGGAAGGCAGTCTGGGAATGAGGACTCATATTCTCAGGCACTGAGGGCCTCAATGCCAGCAGGGCTGAGCACCAGTGCCTGAAGGATGTCGGATAGGGACACCACGCCCAGGAGATGCTGGCTCTCATCCACTAGCACCAACCGGTGTACCTGTGGGTCCACAGAGGTTGGATAAGGGGGCAGGGCCATGCAGCTCTGGCACCAGTGAGGTTGGCATCAAGAATCAGGGACAACAGTTGGCCATAACTGGGAGAGCAAGAGGGTGCCTCTTAGAAATCCGTTAAGGTTCTGACCTCTCTGTGTGATCAGACGATTGTGGCCCATGGCACATGGGCCAATGGACAGGACCAGCTGCAGACCAGTGTGGACACCAAGAGCTTGGCCATGAAATAGGAGGACAGGGCAGGTGCCCAATGTGTAGGAAGAGCTGGAGCAGTTCATGAGAAGGATTGGACCATATGTGTTAGGAACGTGTATGAAGGGCACGGGGTACCTGCTCCCGGACAATCCGGTCGATGACTTCCCCCAAGTTCTCTTTGGGCTGGCAGGAAAGGACTCCCTCCAGACACAGCGTCCTCTGCCTCAGTGCTTCCCCCACACTCATGTCTAGGTGGTTGTAGGTATGCTGGGCAGCCAGGTGCTGGGCAGGGAGGGAAGTATCGCTCTTAGTCACCCCTTCAACCAGGCTCTAGCCCAGTGGATATCATCGGCCACACACTCAAAAAGGTCCCCCTGTTCCACAGATGACTCTGATTCTCACACCCACAGCCTCCCTGCAGCACCCTCAGCTCCAGCTCCCCTCCATTCCCCACAGACACTTACGATCACATCGAAGCGGGAGTAGAGGCCCACGACCTGACCTGCAGGAGTGGTGGGTGGGGAGAGAGAGAGACGGAAGAGGATCAGAACCAGGATGCTGTGCAAGGGCTTGGGCTGGGCTTTTGGAATAAACTCCTCGATACCCACCCCTGCCCAGCCTTAGACTACTAGCTTTATAATGAAGCATCAGGTGGCCACTATCTGAACCCAAATCACACAGCATCACAGAGACAGACAACCTGCCATCATGCCTCCTGACACAATATGAGCACATTGAGTCACCTATGAAATATTCTAGCCTGGGTCTGATAGAGTCTTAAATCTAATTTCTGGTTTACAGGAAACAGGAATAGAGGACCAGGTAAAGGCCACCTGTAGGAAGCAAACAGGCAGAGCTGGGGGTGGATGGAACATTCTATAGGACAACTGTCCCAGGCTTTTCATCACCAATATCATAAAAATTAAGTGGGGGAGGGAACAGTTTTGAGTTAAAAGATTTAAAGGACAAAAGGAGCAAAATATAGGCCTTAACTGATCCTGGTTTGAACAAACCAACTGTATGTATTTGTTCTTGGGGAAAATAGGGAAATGGGAATTAGAATTGGATATTAGATAACATTAATAAATTATAGTTTATTAGGTGATAGAGGAAATATTTTAAGAGATGCAAACTGAAATGTTTAGGCATGAAATGACATGATGTCTATAATTTTATTTTAAATTACTTCAGCAAAAGAAAAGAAAAATAACTGATTATGGCAATATGTTAACTTTCAATCCAGGCAATGGACATGGGGGATTCATTATATAGTGTTTTCTGCCATTTTCATGCATTTGAAATTTTTCATGATAAAAAATAAATTAGAATACTTCTTGATATGTAGCTTCATTGTGGCAATTTTAACTTTTAAATCATTTATAACCATGGTTTACCAAAGAAGTGGTCTTGTAATTCCTCTGACCCTTTTTCAGAGTAAGAAATCGAGGTCTGACAAGGTCCCATGGCCCATTTTAGGATGAATTAAAATGAAAAACCTCATCTACTATTTCCTCTCATTATGCTCATTTGATAGCACATAAACCTTTAAAATCATCCTTTGGTTATTGCCCTAACTGGTTTGGCTCAGTGGATATAGCGTCAGCCTGCGGACTCAAGGGTCCCGGGTTCGATTCCAGTCAAGGGCATGTACCTTGGTTGTGGGCACATCCCCAGTAGGGAGTGTGCAGGAGGCAGCTGATCGATGTTTCTCTCATCGATGTTTCTAACTCTCTATCCCTCTCCCTTCCTCTCTGTAAAAAATCAATAAAATATATTTAATAAAAAATAAAATTAAATAAAATCATCCTTTGGCCCTAGTCGGTTTAGCTCAGTGGATAGAGCATTGGCCTGTGGACTGAAGGGTCCCAGGTTCTATTCCGGTCAAGGGCACATTCCCAGGTTGTGGGCTTGATCCCCAGTAGGGGCGTGCAGAAGGCAGCCGATCAATGATTCATCATTGATGTTTCTTTCTCTTCCCTCTCCCTTCCTCTCTGAAATCAATAAAAATATGTTAAAAAATAATAAAATCATCCCTTAAAGTCAGAAGGTGGGTGTTGTTAAGATGCCCACTTTATACATGAGGAAACTGAGGCACGGAGAGGCTAAGTAACTGGTCCAAGGCTCAAAGCAGGCAGAGACTTCTAACGCAGACTCCACCCTGGGCCCTGAGCTGATGCCACATAGACCTCTGCCCCTCATAGCCCCCCTGCACCCCTAAGTCCTATCCTGGAGTGGGTACCATCTTCGTTGATCACAGGCAGTGCAGACACAGGCCGGTCCACAAAGATGTCCAGTGCGGTCAGGATGGGTGCCGTCTCAAGCACCACAGCCAAGTCTCGGAATGTACCGATGCCCAAATCTTGGATGGTTCGGTAGAGGAATGGGGGCCGGGGCAGCAGATCGCCCTGGTTGGGTTGGGGACAGGTGGTGCCATCAGGGTGAGGAGCCTCCAGGGCTCCCATCTGCCCCCTTCCCAATGATCAGGTCACCCCTAGGCTCACAAAGATGTGCAGGAACTTGAGTAGCCGCTTGTGTGTGATGATGTGGAGCACGTCGCCTGATACCGGGTCCAGGACAGGCAGGCGGTGTATCCGGTTCTTGATGAGGGTGTAGACAGCTTCAAATAGGCTGAGGGGTGGGAACAGTGAGCCTGAGGCAGCCTGGGAGAGACACCCTGCATCCCAGTCCCTAGGCGGGAGGACAGGTGCTGAAGCTGCCTTGTGGGCCTTCCCAGGATGAGAGGTGTGTTCAGAACTGAGGGGTGGGGAAGGGGACTGTGTAGAGCAAGAAGGCTCAGGTGGGTGATTGGGATGCTTACCTGTCATTGGGAGAGATGGAGACCAGAGGCTTGATGCAGCCTTGAAGGTAGATCTCTGAAGAAAAAGCCGAGTCAGGCCAAGGGAACTGGCTAACCTGCCTTACCACATAGCCCACCAGTGCATCCCCTCCCTCAGGCCCCCTGGGCTCCCTGTCACCCTTCCTCTGCTTCGTCCAGGAAATCCCCACAGCCTGTCCTCTCCATGCTCCTTGGTCCCACACCCACACACCCTCAGCCCCTTTCCGGGTCCCCTCAGACCACTCACCCCTCCAGGTCTCAATCTTATGCTCTTCAATCTCATAGATCTGGACCTAGAAACATAGACAGGCCTCCAGAAGTCAGACACAAGGCCCTGGGGCACCAGGTTCCCTGAACTCCCCACCACCCAACCCAGATGGGTGCTCGCTGGACTCCCAGCCCATTCCTCACCAGGGGGGACCTGTAATAGCGATGCAGCACCAAGATGAAGTCTGTGATGGTCAGCATCCCTGTGGGGTAGGGGGAGTGGGGTATTGGGGCATCAGCCTGGGGCCTTGTGGTGGAAGGCAGGGTGAGGGGCCAGACTCCCCCGCCCCCCTCTGGGCCCTCCAATGTCCTAGTACTGAGACAGCAATGGGAATTGTGGGAGGAGGGGAGTAGAGCAGTCCCCCCACCCCCACCCCCACCCCCCCGTGCCCGAGGAATGGGGTTCTCCCTTTCTCCTCCAATTTCTCTCCTCCCCCCACACCCTTTCCTATTCTCCTAAGTTCTTCCCTTCCCTTTCCCTTTTTCTACCTAGCACCTATGACCTGGGACCGTGGGATAGTAGGGCTGGAGGGGTCACTCCTCCCCAGATGGGAAAATTAAATGCAGAACCACCACACAAGGTCCCTCCTCTGAGGGACCCTTCCCCACCCCTCTGCCTCCCAGCCCTCCTCACCCACAAAGCTCTGCTTCTTGCTGTCCCATAGAGGTGCAGCCCGGACACCGTTGGCCACCAGGGCGAAGAAGGCCTTCTTGATCTGAGGGCCAGGGAGAAGCCGAGGTGAGTCTCTCACTGCCCTCGGTGGTCCCCTGTCCCGACCAGAGTTCCCTTCTCACAGGTCCTCCTCCACACCAGCTAGCCTGTCTTTCTCATAATCCCTGTTGGGGATGTTTGCTACAGAGATAAGGCTGCTGGTGGCCAGAGGCACTGGGGTGATCCCCTCACCAGGCACCAGGGTGTGAAAACAACTGTGTTTCCACTCAGAAGTCATATGTGTGTAGGCACACACGGTATAATTTTGCTAATATAAGTACTAGAGGTATAATTATTTTGTTGATTTACAAAATACTTTTATCTAAATAAATTTTACATTGACTCATTTTGGCCTTACCTAAGCAATGCTATCTAAACATGCTGCTTGTATTTCTAATACATATTAAAATAAATAAAAAGCTACTAATATAAATGTATTTATTCACAAGTCACTAGAATCAAATCATGTACTGTGGACAACACATATGCCATGCTTTGGGAAACACTGTTTTACTACACGTGATGATACGAATGGAATTATAGGCATGTTGTAGCTCAGCCAGAGGTAGAACAGGGGCCAGAGCTCATCCTATTTATATGGTATGAGAGTCCCCTGCTCTGTGCCCTAAGCCATTCTGGAATATCTTCCACACCGTTCAGGGTTTGCAAAGTGTTCCTACCTATCCTGGGATGTTATAGGAGTCCTTTGCATTCCTACCCCATTGTAGAGACGAGAGAGGTAACGTGGCTGACCCAAGACCCCAAGATACTAAGTGGCAGAGCTGTGATGACAGTTAGGGGTTGCTCACAGAGAGGAGCCGCCCTCCTCACACTGGTCTCCAGGGTGCTAAGAAGGAGCTTGGAAGGGGACCTGCTGGGAGGCCTGGCCTGGCTAGGTATCCTGGAGTGTGTGAGTGGTGGTGCAGCCCCGTGAGGATGGAGGTGAGCAGAGCTGCGGCTTCACCTGCAGCGTGGTGTCGAAGATGACCAGCTTGGAGCTGGTTGCCATGGCATCGTAGCAGGTGTGCTTCTGCATGAAGTGCATGTAGACCTGGGCTCCCGGCTTCTGCAGTTCATCGTCCAAGCCCTGCTTGGGTAACGGGGCCTGCGGGGATGGGCATGGGGCAGGCCTCTCTTCCACCAGGCTGAGCTCAGACCTGCAAGCTACTGTGGCTGGGAACTCTTTGCTGGAGCCAGTGGCTGAGACTGCGCACTCAGAGGGGAGGATGTCCAAGGGAGCAGCCTGGGCCAAGGGTGTGGCCTTGGGGAATGTGGACTCCAGCCCGATGAACTCAGCAGCTGGCCTGGATTGGGGACCTGTTTGAGAGGGAGAGGACAGTAATTCCATCACCCAAAGTACCTTATTATGTGCTGTCTCAGTTTATCCTCAGAGCAGCTTGGGGAAGCCTGGATGTTGGGGGCCCCATTTTGCAGATGAGAAAGCTGAGTCTCAGGGAGTCACATGAGACAGTGGTGCTGTCCCGAATAACCCATGTTGAGTCCCTGGCTCTGCAATGTGGTACTCCTCTATCATGTGGGGACACTGAGGCTGCAAGACGAGGGTTGGGCCCAACTCTGTGTTTTGGAAGAATCAAGGACAAAACCCAGGCCCCAGGCTCTGGGGCTTCACACTGCATGCACCCCGCCTCCCATTCTCCCTAGAACTAGTCTTGGCCTCACCTTCCCCCAGGCCTGGCAGGTCCTCTTCCTCCACAGCCTCCTGCCTTGTCCATCCTGAGGCCTTGGCCCCCCGCTTCCGATGGCTTCTTTCTGAGCTGGTGGTCATGGCGGGTGATGGCCACGGAGTGCTCTCTCCTTGCTCCAGGAGGCTCATCTCTGGAAGGGGGAAGGGGGCCTGTTTGGTTAATAGGGAATAACATAACAGAATCAATTAAAATGTTATTAGTAGTAATGTTTAATATTTGCAAGCTTTCAAAGGGCCTTTCTTCAACATTTTCTCATCCAAACCTCATAGCAAGATTAGAGAGGTTAAACAATTTGCCACAAATCACACAGCTAGTAAGTGATAAAGTCAGAACCAGGGTCTTCAGACTATAGGTCCACCTTCTCTTCATTTGAAAGAGGAAGGAGCAGGTGAGGAAAAGGAAGAAGAAACAAAGAAGAACAAAAAAAGAAAAGGGGAGGAAGACCAAAGCCAGGCTAGTGGAGTGGGTGAGGTTGGGGGCCCAGAGAAAGGAGACTGGGCCAGCAGGAGGGGACCTTCCACCCACCTTGACGCTGAGAACCCACCAGGCTGCTCCAGGATGGGGTCTGTGGGGAGAAGAATGTCTGAAGGGTGGGAAAATGCCCCACGTTCTGGAGCACAGGTCCTTCCCTTCCCACGGTGCACACGTAAACACACATACACATGCACCTCACAAACACATATAAACATATAAACACTCACCCCACAAACACACATAAACCCACACACCCATACTCAAATACTAATACACACTAGAAACAAACAAATGCAACCACTCCCAGGTACACTGACTTACACAAAGAATATATACACACAGACACCCACATGCTCTATACTGAGAAAATCCAGGTCAGGCCACACACACACACACACACACACACACACACACACACACACACGCGCGCGCGCACACATTCACACAGTGTGGTGTATTCCCCCTCACGGCCTCCCTGGGACCCCTGTACCGTGCGCAGCGAGTGCTCCAGCTCAGGCTCCATGGGGCCAGCCAGGCCTATGGAGAGCAAGTGCTGGCCACTGTGGCTGGGCAGCACTATTCTGGGCCTGGCTCCTGGCACCCTGCCCTCCCATATCAGTTTCTCTCTGGGTGTCAGGCAGCTGGGAGGGAGGGGTCCACCGGCTCAGCTGCTCCAGCCCAGCAGCCTGGGGGCAGGGTGGGGAGGGCTGGGGCAACCTGGAATCTTGATATCTGGTCCTGGGCCGCCTTCTAGATCTCTGAGGACAAACAGGAAGGACCCTGTTGTGTGTGTGTGTGTCGGGGGGAGGGGGGGGGGAGGATGGGGGGGGCTTGGAGCAATGTGGGGCATTGGGGCTAGGAAGTGGGTTCCTCCTCTGAGGGCCTCTCTCATCTTTGTCAGATGGCAAATGAAGGAAAATAGAGGCGGGTTGAGCTTACCTTTCTTCCTTGTACCAGCTTCAGTCGGGGTGGTGTTAGAGTTAGAAAGGGCAGTTGCAGCCAGCTAGCTGGGAGGCTGGGGATACGGGGTTTGTGGGTAGTTCCGGGAGAGTGACCAATATGTGTCCGGACGTCCCCATTTGAGACCCAGGAGCCTCAGGCAGGTGGGAACCTGTGATGATCCTCTTGAAGGTGTGCCATGAGCTTGAAGGCTTGGGACCTACACTTGTGCACAGGATGAGAGACACCTGTTTCTGCCTGTGGTTTGAAGGTAAGTCCAGGTGTGCAGCAGCCCAACCCCCTCATCCTGCTGTGTCTCCTGTCTCTACGTCTTCTGGTGCCAACAGGATCCCAACCTGGCTCTGGTGGCTGCCCACCCCCCTTCCTTGGCATTCCTGGGGCCTGAGTCAATGTCCAAATCAGGAATGCTGACCAGCTGCGCTAGCTCCTCTCTCTCTGCCCCTCCCCTTCCTCTTTTTCTTCCAGCCTCTTCCATCTTAGTCTCTGGCCCTGGAGTGGACACTTGGTAATGGATTACTGGATTTCTTGCTGAATTCGTTGAATATATTTTCCATCCTCCCTCAAAGCCCCTGTCCTGCCTAAGGATGGGGGTGGGGAAGAACACAGCAGGGAAGAGACTGTGCCCATCCATGTGTCTTGGATAGTGCAGGGGTGAGTGCAACTCTCCTTTCACAAGATCCCTGTCAGATGATGGAACTTCTAAGGCACAGCTAATGGGACACCTCAAATGGTAGAAAGATCAAGTGGACCATCCCTGAAGGTATCCGATGCATCAGACTTGGAAAACCCCCACCCCTTTTGCTCCCCAGGCCACCCTCACAGACAAACCAGATACACATCAGCTCACACCATCACCTTCTCTTGCAATACTCTGTGGTCGCTCCACCTCAGATATGGTTTACCTACAGGGCCAGTAGGCACCTTTTCAGTCTTCCCTGATTGCATCACCCTCACTGCAATGGTCTGACAGTGAGTGTTCTTTGGACGCATTTCAGCATTCACTGGACTGGCATTTACACAATGAATCACATGCAAATATCTTTTATCTCTAAGTAAACAGTGGGCACCTTGATGATCAAATTTGTTGGCTGGATGTGATGCAAAGCCTGTTTGGGGGTCAGGCAGACCTGATGAAAATATATGCTCTGCCCTTGGCTGGCCATATGACCTTGGCAAGCATTGCTCACTTTCTTCCCGCCTGTTTCCACGAATGTAAAATAAAGATAAAAGCATTAGGTGGCAGAGACTACCAGTTGCCTCCCAAAATCTATTTTCCTCCTCTTCCTTTAGTAATAGAATCACTTGAATTTTAGTGGGAATGGCTGGCTGTTATAAACACAAGTTCCCATCTATCTTGCAGCTAAATATGGCCTTGTGGCTAAATTTTTGCCAATGACATATATGAGTGGAAGTGGTGTGAACAACTTCCAAGTCAGGCCTTAAAAGAAAGAAACATGAGTTCTCCTTTTCACCCTCTGCCGACTGGAATGCTAATGTGATGGCAGGAGCTAGAACAGCTATCTTACACCAATGATGAAAGATGTTTATTAAGGGTTTCAGAATCACCCTACCAGGTTTGGATTGTCTATAGACTCTTATAAAAGAGAAATATACACTTTCTTAAGTCATTTGAATTGGGGTCTTTGAGTCCTAGCCAGTTTGGCTCAGTGGATAGAGTGTCGGCCTGCGGACTGAAGGGTCCCGGGTTTAATTCCGGTCAAGGGCACATGCCCGGTTGTAGGCTCAGTCCCCAGTAGGAGGCATGAAGGAGGCAACCGATCAATGGTTATCTCTCATCATTGATGTTTCTATCTCTCTTTCCCTCTCCTTTCCTCTTTGAAATCAATTAAAATAAAAATGAAGCCCTAACCGGTTTGGCTCAGTGGATAGAGTGTCAGCCTGTGGACTGAAAGGTCCCTGGTTTGATTCCAGTCAAGGGCATGTACCTTGGTTGCAGGCACATCCCCAGAAGGAGATGTGCAGGAGGTAGCTGATTGATGTTTCTCTCTCATCGATGTTTCTAACTCTCTATCCCTCTCCCTTTCTGTAAAAAATCAATAAAATATATCTTTTTAAAATGAAAAAGAACTCCCGGGGGCCCAGTCCTAGGGGTTCCCCACACTTAAATAAATAAATAAAAAGGACCTTTGTTACAACAACCAAACATGTACATTAACTAATGCAAAATTTGGTATCTGGAAGCAGCACTGCTTTAAAAGCCTAAGACAAGTGTCATTGGTTTAAAGAATGGACAGAAGAAAGCAAAGAAAAATATTGTATGCACGTAAGCTGGTGACCATTGTTATGTTACAGCAAAACATAGGACATGTCTGTCATCTATGATCCCTTGAAAGGTAAAGCATATGTAAACACTCATGGAAACTGAGCGGAAACACTGAGATTGTTGTTGGCTGCTGCTTGCTGCTACAAGCAAAGTCCTACAAGATAGATGCACTCAGGCTAGTTCTAAGAGGTAGTTTGGAGCAGGCAGGCCTGGCAAGGGCTGTACCTGTGGTCCCAAATCTTTCTCAAGCTCACCCTGTTCAGCAAACAGTGCAAGCCGGCTCAGTGGGCAGAATAAGGAAGTCCCCTTCAGAGCCAAGCATACTTGTTTCAGCTGGCCTCAAGATAGCCACCAGCAGTGAGAGAAAGATTAGGAAGTACACCAAGTCCAGCGTATTCAAGCATAAAAGTTATCTCTATATGAGCTCATTGGCTGTGGTTACTCAAATATGAAATCAGTCAGAAGACTTCTAAGATTTTAAAGATATTGTTTTCACAAAGAAACCACAATCTGGTCAGCAAACCCTGGTTTGACACCCCCACCCCCAGTTATTCCCACTCCCCCAAATCTGCACCAGCAGGAGGAGGACTGTGAAAGTTATAAGGTCTGCAAGAAGGCAGATATGTTCTTTGATGCAGCTGCAGAGGATCTTGGGTAAAGAAAACTTCCCAGGAGGTAATGCCAGAGGCCACAGGGGAGAGTAGACAGGGGAACTCCTCCCAGACAGCAGAAGTGGAACAGCCAGAAGCACTGCCCAACTTACTCCATGGCTAGGAGGCAGCTTTGCGGTTCCTACCCGACTGGATTTAGTAACTGTTAAGATCCAGTGACTGCTGGATATTTGCTGTTCTTTCTTGTTGAGTGGATGTATTTGTTTGTTATTATAATTAGAATTTTTTCCAATTACAGTTTACATTCAGTATTACTTTGTATTAGTTTCATGTGTATAGCAAAGTAGTTAGACAATCATATAATTTACAAAGTATCCCCCCTGATATTTCAAGTACCCAACTGGCACCATACATAGTTATTGCATTATTAGTGGCCCAGTGCATGGATTCGTGCACATTGAAAGGAAATTAATTACCACAGCTCAGCAGTAAACCAGATTCAGGACCGACAGTGCCCCAGCAACAACATAACCCACAGCTGAAGGTGGAACACATGGCCCTCATGAGGAATCAGATTCCTTCCTCTCCGGTTCTGCGGTGCGTCACCCAAGAACCGCTGCTGCCAAGTCACCACAGCTTGGCAGCTCCTGTGTCGAGCGTCTGCCCCCTGGTGGTCAGTGTGCATTATATGTACTGACTGGTCAGATGGCCAGCCAGTCAGATGGTCATCTAGCCCTTTATATATATAGATTATTGACTATATTTCCTATGCTGTACTTTATATCCCCATGATTATTTTGTAGCTATCAATCTGTACTTCTCAATCTCTTCACCTTTTCACCCAGTTCCCCAACCTTCCTCCCTTCTGGTAACCATCAGCCTTTTTTCTGTATCTCTGAGTCTGTTCCTGTTTTGTTTGTTCATTTATAGTGTTCTTTAGATTCCACATTAAGAGAAATCATATGATATTAGTCTTTTTCTGACTTATTTCACTTAAGTGTCGCAAATGGTAAGATTTTGTTCTTTTTTATTGCTGAGTAATATTCTATTGTATATATGTATATATGACCTACAGTCTTTTTATCCCTTTTTGGGTGTTTTGAGTTTATCTTGTTCTTTCTCCACAGTTGTTTATGAGGAATGGGTGGGCCAGATTGCCTGCCTTTGGTTTACAAGTCACTAGACCATGAAGACCTCATCCGCACCTGGTCCCTTGGAGGTCCGAGGCTCTGGGCTGGTGCTGTGTCTTGGGACCCTGCCTTTCCTCCCTCTGAGGGGTGCTTAATGAGCTTGTAAGGGGTGGACAGATGTTGAACTCTGGCAGAGTAATATCTATTTCCTCCTCCTTCTTCCTCTATTAGTAAACCCTTACAATTTTAACTAAGACCAAGATTATATTTCCCAGCTTCCT